CAGTATGGGGGGGGGGCAGAGTATCTGTAGAGTGAGCTTAGGGTTGAAAGAGTTGCAGATATCGAGAGCGTTAGGGCGAGAGAGAGAAGGGGGCGGGGCTAGAGAGCGAGATGAGAGAATTAGAGAGAGAGAGAGTTAGAAAGCGAGATGAGAGGATTAGAGCTAGAGAGCGAGATGAGAGAATTAGAGAGAGAGAGAGAGAGCTAGAGAGAGACAGGTAGAGAGAGAGCTAGAGAGAGAGAGAGAGAGCTAGAGAGAGACAGGTAGAGAGAGAAAGGTAGAGAACAAGAGATAGTTTAAAGCTAAAGAGAAAGAAGCTAGAAAGGGAGCTAGAGGGAGAGAGAGAGAGAAAGAGAGAGAAAGATAAACACATTGGCGTTAACGTAACTGTCAGTCAGTGTGCAACGTAAATAGATTCAAAACTTATCTATTCCGGGAATTTCCATAAATACCGGCCCCAAGCAGACGACAATGGACAATGGCTGCCATGAGGTTATAGCTCCATAAATCACACCCCCGTGGCTAATGATCCATCATTACTATATTATATATACATAGGAAATATTGCTTATTTAAAATAATCATCTGAAAAGCCAGTACATAAAAGCAGGGGCGTATTTGGCTATGGTCGTGGTAAGGTGTCCATCAACTGGGCAATACCCAAATTGTCATTCCTTAAAAGGCTGAAAATATTCACGATGCACAATATTAATATCTTAATTAATTTGCCACAGGCTTCTGTTGTGTCATAAGAAGCACCCCCGCCCCCCCCCCCAAAATCCCCTCTTTTTTAACAAGAGTATTTATCTAGATACGCCGCCGGCTGTATAATGTTATGCTGTTATGAAAACGGCATGGCTTTAAGTTGTAGAACCAGAGGAAGAGAGAGAGAGAGGGAGGGGGTGGAGGTGGCACGCTACAGGCACGGAAAGGTAGGAGCTGTTCGAAGTCAGAGCACTTGCAAATCCCCGTGACTCTTGATTCCCCGCAACACACGGGAACGGAAGTGATCTCCCCCTTGACTTCCCCTCGTGTAACCGTAATGGCGGGAGGCAACAAGGACGTTTCGAGAGGAAAAATGGCAGTTTAAGGGATTTGACTCGTCATTTTTTCGTGTTCTTTTCGACTTACCCGTTTTCGACCTAACGAAGCAGTGTCACTGACGCTCTAGGATTTATTTGCCCCCGGGATCGTGACGTCATTACATTAGACTCAAGTATTCGGAATTGTGTTGTGTGTTTTGTCACTTTTGTGTGTGTGGTTATTTAACACCAAACGTATTCCACATATCATTTTGTACACCACATATCATTTTGTACACCACATATCATTTTGTACACCTCATATCATTTTGTACACCACATATCATTTTGTACACCACATATCATTTTGTACACCACATATCATTTTGTACACCTCATATCATTTTGTACACCACATATCATTTTGTACACCACATATCATTTTGTACACCACATATCATTTTGTACACCACATATCATTTTGTACACCACATATCATTTTGTACACCACATATCATTTTGTACACCACATATCATTTTGTACACCACATATCATTTTGTACACCACATATCATTTTGTACACCACATATCATTTTGTACACCACATATCATTTTGTACACCACATATCATTTTGTACACCACATATCATTTTGTACACCACATATCATTTTGTACACCACATATCATTTGGTTCACCTCATATCATTTGGTACACCACATATCATTTTGTACACCACATATCATTTGGTTCACCTCATATCATTTTGTACACCACATATCATTTGGTTCACCTCATATCATTTTGTACACCACATATCATTTGGTTTATACTCATTTGTTGCCGTCAAATTCAGTACCGTATAGTTGCAGCTTGGTTAGCTCTATCTACTCAGGTAAATAGTGTCTCTCTTTGACCGTGTGCATTTGAGTTTCAATGGACTTGAGACAATGGTAGGCTTACCTTTGTGACATTCTGCCTTTAAGTCAGCGCCAGGCTTAACACTATGTGACATTCTGGACTTAAGTCTATGGCACGCTAAACAATGTCACATTCTGCTTTGTTTACATTACGAAAAAAACAATAAGTTTAGTTTGTTAGAGTGCTATGGTTCTGTGGTTATGCGATTCTTTGCTTTATGGTTTATGGTTCATTTGTTGTATGGTTCTATGGTTTTATGGTTCTTCGGTTCTATGGGTGTACGGTTCTGTGATTCTTCGGTTCTTTGCTTATATGGTTTTTATGGTTCTAAGCTTCTGAGGATTTGAAGATGTTGAAAGAGTGTGTGCTTATGATTACCATTCAATGGAAACTACTGCTAAGTTTGGTCTGGTGGCAAGGTGGCAGCAAGGATGATCCTACCACTGCTAAGTTTGGTCTGGTGGCAAGGTGGCAGCAAGGATGAGCTTACGACTGCTAAGTTTGGTCTGGTGGCAAGGTGGCAGCAAGGATGATCCTACGACTGTTAAGTTTGGTCTGGTTGCAATGTGGCAGCAAGTTTGTCTCATGTTTCCTCCATTAAATCAACAATTAATTTTTTTAATATATTAATTTTTAGCTGACAAATTTTTCTATCATCTGCGGAGTTAAATCATAAAATTTGATCAATCGACGCGACACTTTGAACCCATACCTGATAAGTTGGATCTGCTATCATCTTGGAGCCAGGACTTTTGATGTTCAAATGTAGAGGGTGGTGTGGAGGGATCTGGTGTTCACATGACATTAACTCGAGATACGTTTTTTTTTATATACATGTTTAATAAAACATTAATATTCCAGCTCAATAATTTACCATTAGGACCTTAGAATCACCCCGTTGTACATTAAGACCTTACAATAACCCCGTTTTACATTAAGACCTTACATTCACCATGGTGTACCTTCATTCACCCCGTTCAGCACGTTAGGATACCACACCTATTTTGGATTCCACGTCTGCTTGCATTGTTGATAATCAGCATTACGGTTCCACCAGTGATATTATTTTTTTCTTTTAAGTACGCCTACGAGCACACGACCAAAGGTCAAGCTCGTCAGCTGACCCGAAAATTATCCACTTCCGCTTCTGTGTGGTTAAACTACTCGACTCGCTCGCGTACCGTACTGATCACAATAAGTGCTCTCATAACACAGAGACCTTCTGGCGTGATGGTCGTGCTCTGTGTCAGCAATGGGCGCATACAGTATGGAATGAAAACATAGGTAGTGAGTTCATTGATCTGGGACCACACATTCATTGAGTTTAGCCACAAGAAATTCAAACATGGTAACCTAAGCTATAAAAAAAAAAGGCCCAAGGTAATTAATCTGTGTCCAACATTGTAATTATGAAATTAGCTTAAAAATAAAATTTATATCGATAAGTCCCAGTGATCATCTAGAATCCTTATGCGACCAAAAGGATCTTGCAAGACATATCACCAAAACTCATAGCGGCCCAAAAGCTCTTACAGGACATATCACCAAAACTCATTGCGGCCCGAAGTATCTTGCAGGACATATCACCAATCCTCATAGCGGCCCAAAAGCTCTTACAGGACATATCACCAATCCTCATTGCGGCCCGAAGGATCTTGCAGGACATATTACCAATCCACATAGCGGCCCAAATGCTCTTGCAAGACATATCACCATAAGTCAGAAAAAGAATTGAGTAAAAATTGATATTAAATGCAACATCCGTATTCATTTCACCCCAATAGAGCGCATTTTAAAACCCACTTCGTTAAGATATAACTTACAAAACATTAACGAGTTGAAATAATTCCAAGGTATCCAATAGATTACATCGCCATAAGGTAAGCTGTTTCTAAGAAAGAGGTTACCACGTTTTCAGCATTTTCTAAAACAGAAAAACAGCCATAATCATAATCCTGTCATCAACTATTGTCGATTGACGGTGGATGAAACCGGGTTCCGTTATCCATGTGCAATCCAAACGATACAATCTTCTTTATTTATGTAATTAATGACAATCTCTCCCCCCCCCCAAACCCCCACCCCCACCCGGCCCAAACGGTCTCCAACAGGGAAGTCAATCTGTTGATATTGCTCTCCTCTCGTACCGCTGTGTCCATCTCATTTCACAAAAACAAGTCCAGTCTACGATTCTAATTCCGTGTTCCGGGAAGCTTTAGAAAAAAAATATGTATCTGAAAATGTGAAAATCGTTCTAATTTAGTTTTAGATAGCGTGTGGTTTCACGGTGTAATGCAAGCCAATTTGTTACAGTCTAGTACCAGATACAGCCTGGTTTCTTTGTGTGATGCCAGATGTCATTGTTCTGGAGATTGAATGGTTTAGTAAAGGACAGACCTGATGAGGCTTAGGATCGTCGTATGGAAAACAGTTTGTCTTTGAATTATCTGACAATGTTCACAAAGTCTGTATTTCACTTCTCTGCCAATGCTCACAAGGTCTATGTTCAATTAATTTTCAGATAGAGGATACTCCCCTTGTTGTTCTTAGAGCTTATATTTTTTATTGCTGTTCTAAAAGTCTATGTTCTTACTGATTCTTATTTACAGTCAATGTATCTATTGCTATTTGCGCCATTGCCTACCATTGTTATTTGCGCCATATCCTACTATAGATATTTGCATCATATCCTACCATTGTTATTTGCATCATATCCTAAATTGTTATTTGCGTCATGTCATAATGAATTGGGGATGTTATGTTAAGCTTCTATAATAAGCTCGTCGTACTGAATTCTGAAATAATTGGCTTAAATAATAGGCTAATGATGAATGACCTTCTTATAGGTATCATCATCATCATCATCATCATCATCGAAAAGTTCAGCTCAAACGTGATGACATGTCATTTGAAACGAGATAAATCTATGATTGCTTGATCAGAAAACCAAACATCCCTTGTGACGTATTTCCTCTCGGCAAGTAACTTGAAACATTTCAGCAAGAGATTCAAAATGTGTTTATGTTTGTTTTGTTTTTCTTCTCAACTACCCATTCTAGAATTTTCCCCGCTGCTGTGCACAAACATTACAATCAATTTTTTTTTCAAAAATGGCTTGTTGTGAACTCAGTTTGACCACGGGACAGTGTGTGCGTGTGGCGCCTCAGACACTCCATCACGAGCCTCAACAAGCAGCCTCTAGACATGGATGAAAATATATGAGAGACACAGCCCCCCGTAGTCATGTATTCAAAGTAGCAGAGTTTGTTTTTAGACATCTTCTAGTTTTTTGTTTTATCATTTCATTCTACTAAAGGACATTTCCTGGTGTGGTGGACTTGTAGGCTTCTCCATACGTCGTCCTTCGTAATCAAGATTTAGAATCGCAATTCGTCTGATAAAGATCTTCTTTTAAGTGAGTTGTAACCACTTCGACAAGAACTGAGACCAAGAAATAACTGTATAAATATCTCGTAGTAACACATTTCAGCAGGGACTTTTGGTTAATTTCCTATACTAACAACCCAATCGATCTAGGAGCCAGACATCCGAGTTGGCCCTTTAGTTTCTTAATCATTCTCTTCATCCCGACCAAAACAATCAGACGTGTGTGTGTGTGATCTCCGTCATGTCAGTGGTGCCATGCTAAAATTTGTGACGACAAAACCACCCCGAGGTCGATCGCCCAGTGGCTCCGGAACCCCTGACCGTGACGTCATCCACCGTATGTCCCGCGAGACCTCGCCGTCGGCCACGTCACTGAGGACCCACTACTCGCCGCGAATCGTCCGAAAGCACCATTCATTCTCTCATCCGCACCAGTACCCCGACGGCAGAGCTTCGTCCTCGGCGCCTTCATACCGCACCAGCCCCAACCCTTCGCGGGGCGGCGCCTGGGGTCAAGGCCAGACCGTGCGTCGGCCAGGAGATCAGGCCAGGACGTACCAAGCACCTCCCGAATTCAGATCTTCCGGTTTATCCGAGCAAGACTTCTGCCGCCAACAGTCATATCTTTTACAACCTCAGGAACGTCCCCTCCAACAACAGCAGCAGTTACGGCAACAGCTACAACCGGGTAGTTTTGCCGGCACCAAGTACGCCTACCAGCAGGCGGCTGCGAGCGATTCAGGTAGTCCTTACGCTACTCTGTATTTCCGGGACTCCAGCTCTGACGTCATCAGCCCGACCTCCAAAGAAAACAAATTCCCCCTTGAACTTGAAGGTCTTTACTCCACCACCAAGAGCTCCCCACCCAAAGAGAAGCACCACGTGACGTTTGCAAACGATATCCCAACGGCCGTGGCACAAGAAGGTCAACTGCAATCCGGGGTGGTGTCCAGCAGCACCGGTGACCACGACGCAAGATCAGACTCGTCCCAAACTGCCGCAGCCATAGACGCCTACGGTAAGCAAGCGCAGCACACCTCCACCAGACAGCAGGCGTTCAACCAGTTCTACACTGAAACCACAACACCCAGGTCAGCTTCTCAGCAAACCATTCTTCTCCAACCCACCTACATTTCCCAAACCAAATCGGAGGCCTTTGACTCTACGGATCCCTTCCCGACCTACAATTCTCATACAAGAGCGGAAGCTCCTAGAGATCCATTCACTACTCAAACCAGGCCCGACGTCCATACTGCAGGAGATCGCTTCCTTCCATCGAGACAGACCTCGTCAACTGACCACTTCATCCCCATCGAAACGTTCCCACGCTCACCCCCGTCGGGGCGCCGGGAATTCCAACAGGTCTCATCGACAGAACACCAACGTGTCCAGCCGACGTTTGTGAAGCCACCGGCCAGTGTCCAGCTCCTGTCGAATCAAGTAGGTTAGCATGGTCTGGAGAATAGCATGCGCATGTCCTTGAGGATGCCTCTTAAAGTTGTTGTTGTTTCTAACAAGGTTTTTGGTGGTCAGTGAGAAGTCGTTATTTTGTCCTCATTGATAATCGAAGCGATTTCTGTCTATCCTACAACTAAATGCTATGATACATTTTTTAATAAAATTATGTTATGCACATTTTTTTTTCAATATGTACTCGCAAAAAACACTGAGCGCTTGTTTCAATTTAGGACGGAGAGTTCCTCAGCAAAATAATTATTATTTACTTGACGTCATCAAAGTGTGTGTAGGTGCACGTGAAAGTCGCCGATCAGTTGATTAGATCATTATTGCATGCATTTGGTTTATTACAATTTTCTAAACATGTTTGTGATACAAACAAACAAAAAAATGTCTGACATGTTGACATATAATTCTTGACCCAATTAACTCAATATTAAGTCTTAATGGCACAGATCGTGCTCTCTAAAAATCTCAACGGTCTAAAGATTAAGCCAATGAAATGAGGAGCTTTCTAAGATGTTAAAACAAAACAATATATTTTTTGTGTCCAATATTCTCATAAATAATAACTTGCCCTAATACGATTTTGAGGTCATCAGCTGGCATTTTGCGTCACATTTCCAAAGCTTTCAATACAGTGGGTGGATCTTTGACCAAGGAATGTGATCTTTTTATGCAACGTCAGACTTAAAATTCTACATGCGACATTCTACAATGGCTTTCATGAGTTTTTAGTCTGATCAAACTTTATTGAGTTTGAAATTTTTTTGGCTCGGCAGACAATTCCCAAACCAGCGAGAATTATGCACTTTTTTTACATTATTGAATTTTGTATTGTCCCGACGGCTGAATGGCCCGTTTCCCGTCAACGTATCCAGCTGAAACTTGGCACACAGACTCGTTGCCGATGACAACACATTCTTTCTCTTGGGTTGTTTTTCTAAAATAGGTGATTCAATAAATCTGGGATGTAAAAGTGGAAGGGGCATCAGAATATTATTTTAAAGGTAAAATAATATTAAAAATACACATTAAGGATTTTTACGAAAAAAAATTTGATTTTAAGGGTTGTCTACTGTGTGCACAACCAGGAATGCTAAAGTTGTACACATCTTAACTCTGCATGACAACGACTAATTAAAACACTGTGCGATTCTGTTGGTGCTAAACCCAACGCCATTGAAATGACAATGTTTCATTTAGGTTTGATTACGAAATTACAGACAATGGAACAGAAGAGATATTTCGAGATTTAGTGAAAAATCCTAGGGACTTCTATACAACGGCTGGCTTCTGGAACCTGTCGTCTGTCACCTAAGACCATTGGAAAAGAATTTTTTATAAAGTAGCAACGAAAATAATTTCATTGTTGGGGGTCACCATAACATGAGGAACTGTATGAAAGGGTCGCAGCATTTGTAAGGTTGAGAACCATTACTATGGATACTAATTTAAATCTAATTAACCCAAAGCCTTTCACTCTCATTATCAGTCATTCGTTTTACTCCCATAACTTCCGGTCACGGATGGCACTTTGTGTGCGCCCCCCCCCCTCCCCCATAGAGGAGATGCATCTCAAACCTAATTTCAGACTACATTTTGTAGACCCAAGTTTTTGTTCTTGGAGTCCTAGATTCTGCAGACCCCTTCGTTCATGACCACCACTCTACCTACATAAAACTTATTTTCTTTAAAATATACTGAAGTAAACATAAAAATGCCCCCCCCCCGCCCCCCCTGAAAAGTCTAGTTCTTGAAAAATATTTTTTATTTCGAGTGTCTTAAGGATACACATCTAGTTTCATCCACTATACGATCAGACAAAATGTTATCTGAGAAAAGTCTTTACCAGTATGAAGGGATAGTTTAAATCAAATTTCCCACTTCCGTCTTTGAAGAGTTCCACAAAACAATTTCTTTTTAAGTTCTTCCCTCCCCCCCCCCCCTTGAACCACCCCCCCCAAAGTTGAGACTCGCGGTAGATATGTAACTAAGATGGCGACTATCTGGAAGGGCCGTCGGGAGCCAGCCAGACAGCAGGCAGGTAATCACCGACCATTGCGAGCCTGCGTTTAGCCTAATTGCTGCTCACATCTGCCCGGCCCAAACATTTAAATAGGTCACTTTCGTACCTCGGATTTTAGTGGGGTATTTTTTCCCCCCATTTTTTGTTGTTTTTTTTCAAACAAAATTGTCCTAATAAGTAGGAACCTTCGAGTGGAACAGCTGACGGTTACTCTCAGGGGAGGAAACAACGTGTTGCAGGGGCGGCCGTCTGCCTGAAGAATCTGTGTCAGCCTTGCAATCATTTTAAGTTGATAACTTTATACTTATGTCATGCACACAATGGTGTTAATAATTATTTGATTAGGCCACAAGGATTTCCATTGTATTGTCTCATTGTGACCCCAGATTAGGTCACAATGAAAGGCGTAGCCCAGGCACAGGAAGGGGGTAGGTGAAGCAATGGTGTAGGAAGAGGGGGGGGGGGTTGGAGGAGATGATCCAGCCTGATCGGCACTTTTATTTGGAGGGGGGAGGGGAGAGGGGGGAATAATTTTCATTCCATTTCATATTAAACATATAATTTACTTTTATGTGAATTCTGTATGCATTTTGGTTTTCCTGACTTGGGCGATACAAGCTTTAGCTACTCCTCTGAGTGGTTGTTGGCATTTAGTGATTGACTGCTACCACTTCGGCAAGACATTGCAAACTCTAGACTATGTGTGCTCCTCAGTCTATGTGTAGCCTCAGTCTATGTGTATCCTCAGTCTATGTGTATCCTCAGTCTATGTGTAGCCTCAGTCTATGTGTAGCCTCAATCTATGTGTAGCCTCAGTCTATGTGTAGCCTCAGTCTATGTGTAGCCTCAGTCTATGTGTAGCCTCAGTCTTTGTGTAGCCTCAGTCTATGTGTAGCCTCAGTCTATGTGTAGCCTCAGTCTATGTGTAGCCTCAGTCAATGTCTAGCCTCAGTCAATGTCTAGCCTCAGTCTATGTGTAGCCTTCCTATTTGATTTGTTATGATATACAAATCCTAAAGAAGAAGAATTCCCCAAAAGCAACGCTGGCGCACAGCGCTGAGTATGACTAGTAAATCCTTGAGAGTAAGAACGCGATCTCCTTTAAGGAATACTTAGAAGACGCACTCTCTGTCTGAATGAGAAGACAAATTCGCTGTCTGACTGGGAAGACATAATCGATGTCTGACTGTGAAAGACATACTCGCTGTCTGACTGGGAAGACATAATCGATGTCTGACTGGGAAGACATACTCGCTGTCTGACTGGGAAGACATAATCGATGTCTGACTGGAAAGACATAATCGCTGTCTGCCCGGGAGGTCATGATCGCTGTCTGCCTAGGATCAGATGCCAAGAAAATGAACAACAGATGCAGTCCCTAAAGATATATATATTTTTAAAAAGTCAGCCCCCCCCCCCACCTTCCGGGTTGGTAACACACCTCCCACGCCGAAATTCAAACCCCTTCCTTCGCTGAGTTCTTTTAGTTGAGTTCTTTTAGTTGAGTTCTTTTAGTTGAGTTCTTTTAGTTGAGTTCTTTTAGTTGAGTTCTTTTAGTTGAGTTCTTTTAGTTGAGTTCTTTTAGTTGAGTTCTTTTAGTTGAGTTCTTTTAGTTGAGTTCTTTTAGTTGAGTTCTTTTAGTTGAGTTCTTTTAGTTGAGTTCTTTTAGTTGAGTTCTTTTAGTTGAGTTCTTTTAGTTGAGTTCTTTTAGTTGAGTAAAACCTTTAAGGGGTGTCATTTGATTAAGGTCGTTAGAGTTGAGTCGGTTGGTGTTGTGCTGAATCATAACAGCAATATCCCGCTAATTGAGTTGATCTGACTCGTTCAAAACCTACCCAGGTGTTGAAACTGACTCCACACTTGCCAACTCTCCACTGGCGCCAGAACTCATCGACTGGAATCCTCGCAGACCACCCGATACGTCATGAAAGATCCTAATGAGACACAACGCTACAGATTTATTTAGAGACAGCTCCACCCACTTTCCACCCACCACGCCCCTCAAACACCCCCCTCCCCCACCAATGATTATTTTAGATTCGTAGGCAGCATTGAAAGAAACAAAAAATAAAAGCTAATATTAAAAGAACGACAACTTTCGGAAACCCTTACATAATCACACACACACACACACACATACACACACACACGCATACACACACGCATACACACACATATACACACACACATACACACACACACGCATACAAACACACATATACACACACATACACACACACATACACACACACGCATTACCCAAATACACACACATGCACACTCACACATACATGCAGACACACACAGACCTGTAGCCAACATTTGCCTGATGAACTTGAAGGCGAAAAAAACATCATTAACATTTCAACAACAA